TTTAGTTCAAACATTATTGATGCAAAGTAAATCATTAACGCTAATGTTCCAAGCAATCGCAACAAGTGCTTGGTTTGAGTTTGAGGCACGTTATGCCTTTGACAATTAATAACCCCGCTGATATTAAATTAAATCAATGTGAAAACACATTAACCACTTTGATTGGTTCAGCTGCTTTGTCCCTTCTGCTATATATACAACATTGACTTTTTGTGTCTCTATGTTAATTATTTTCTCGTCTTTTGAAATTAATTAGGTCTCACATAATTTAACTAATTAATGCTGAGTGAAAGCAAAGTTTCAGAAGGATGGTTATTACTATTTACATATCTGTAAATATGAAATTAACTATACATTGTACTTCTAAACTAATGATGATATGAGGTGGGGTACATTATCACAAAGGGGAATCAAATAGGTTTCCCAATAAGGAAGGGCCACGAGTACAAGGTTTTCTAGAATTTAACCCATTTTGGTGGAGAGGATGGATGATGTTACATGCGCGTTGATTCCAGGTGTTTAAACGGACATGACAGAATGAGAAACACAAAATTTGTGGATATAGAAAGCCCAAGTGTATTTATTTCAATAACAATTATGATAAGCATCTTCGTATATGGGCAACACATCTCTTTTACTTTTTAAGTATATAAGGTAATGTAAAGAAAAGAACTAAATCTTTGGACTAGCACGTTCTACATTGATCCTTTGATCAGATGTCTCCCAACACCACTTTCGGCAAATTAACTAAAATGGGACATTGATTGATAATGCCCAAATTACTATACGAGGCCAAGCCATGATGAGATTATTATCTGTCTCCACAATTTCTAATTAGGAAAATCTACCAAAAACTTTTATTTATTTTTATATGCAATGTAATAACTTTATTAACTAATTAATCCTCAGTCACATCACTGACGTGTAAAGTAAAAAAAAATAGCTTTTCAGATTTATACAAAGTCTGACTTTGTATAAGTCACTAAAAGGACACAACTTAATTACATCCTTTCAAACGACACACACTAAATCCTTATTTTAATTGTCTATCTTTTTAATTATTAGTTGCTTCCAAATTTAGGCTTCATTGCATGATTCAAATATAAATCACACACATATATATATAGAGGGCTTATCGTTTCTCAAGCTGCTTGAGATAATCTTATCTCCGGCTACTAAATCATAACCGTACAAAGATGGATCAATGGTGATAAAGGAAGAGAGAGAAAAAAGGAATCATAACCATTCAAAGGTGAATCAATTAATATAAGGAAATAAATAAATAAAACGACGTAGTTTTGGGGTAGCCGGAGATAAACTTATCTCAAGCTGCTTGAGAAATGTTTTTTCCATATATATATATATCTTAAATTCCCACATCGTGTGGTTTGGGGTTGTCTTGGTCAAGTGGGTGGTTGATTCCATTAAGATAGTGGGGGTGGTGGCATTATTGACTCTGAAGTGATAAACCCTAATCCTTTGGAATTCGATACTCACCAGAGAAGAGTCCAGTGTGTTGGGAACTGGCCAACAAAACGAGTCAGTCAAAGACAGTCCAGCCTTTGCCTTTGCCTTATCAGAAATATTAATGGGGTCAATAGAACTCTATCTCCTTTTTAATTTTTTAATTTGTGATCAGAAAAAAAGATGGTGTGGGGTTAGAGTTGGAACTGATCAGGGGCAAGCATGCATGTGACCAGAATTTGGAGCCATGTGCTTCAATCACATACACATCTTTTGCTGCTGTGAACTGTGCACGCCAACATTGGCTGAGTGTGGCGGTGTAGCAATAGCAATATCCCCACTTCTGCACTATCACAAACAGCTTGAGTGCTTCGGAAGATGGATATACTTTGGTCTCTTCTTTGACTATTTTTATGCTTTCCTTTCTTATTCTCTTTCCCTTATTTAACTCTTTATAAAAAGAAATTCAACTTTATTCCCCTTTTTTTATTCATTAATAGTAAGGCAATGGTTGCAAAGTATAACTAACTTGTATTTGAAATGAGATACATCTTTCTAATACTTGCAAAAAACAATCATATATACATAATTGAATTTGTATTTGTTATATTTTGCAAAGCAATTAAGGCCTCCTCGGGATTCGGTAGCTATTATAACCAAAAGAAGCAAGAAAATAGAAATTTAGATATCCTTCATGTTAGCCTGGTCCAGGTATCAATAGCTTTCTCTAACAAGTAACAATAAAAAATTTCCAAGTAACTCAATTCACTTGTGTGTTGTACTTTTATATTTGTGTTATCCTTTAGAATGCATCAAAGGCTACCTTAGTAGTACGAGTACGACACACAATTGAAAGGAAAAAAAAAATCAGAATCAAATCCTAGTTTTCTTTGTTTTTCTTTAGACTTGAATTTTAAAATAAATAAACTAAAATAAGATAAATGCTTGATTTTAACAATTTTATAACTTTAGTTATACTTTATTTTGTTTGTTTAAAATATTAATAATTATAATAGGTAGTTAGTTTTTTTTCCAAACAGGTTTAACCGATTAAATTAAGGAACTTTAAAAATCTTAGAGGATTAGTTAGGAATTTCTCTTTCCTTCTCTAAATCGTTTTGAAGTGTTCATTGAATTATTTTCTTACCTTCAGCATATCTTTATTGAAACATAATATATTTAAACAGTGTTGGATACCAACAAATAAAAATAAGAGTTCTACATACTACATATATATATATATATATATATATATATATATATATATATACTGTCATTGTATAAAAATATGTTTTATCAATGAAAATCAGTCGTATCATATATGTTTAAATACATAATTTAAAAAATACTAAAACAATTAGATATTATACCTAACAAATGTCCATAAAACGATATATATAGCTTACATATATAGTTTACTGAAAACAAATGTGAAGCATGAGCAATTGAGCACGGGTCACTGTAACCCATGTAGTCTTGTGCATCACGTCGCGTATCCCATGCCTATGTGGCTATGTCTCGTAGCTCTAACCTTTATCAGTTGTCTGTCAGTTTTTAGTTTTCTTCTTGCACCTATATGCAGCACACAGCACAGGTTACAAATTCAAAGTTGAAGCAAGTTTAGAACTTTAAGATCTTTTTATTACGGGGAATAGATTATCTCGTGATAAAATTTCGGAAGTTGATACTAATTAACATGATCATATTTTGTAAGAGGATCATAATCAATTTGGGTGTGATAATCTTGTTATTCCCTATTCTAATAATTTTCTCTCTCTCATTATTCATTACAACTGATTCACCGATGAATGATTAGGATCTATAATTATGTTAAATAATACATGAGATGATGCATTCTCTAAAATTTCACATGAGAGAGTCATGTAAAAAATTTTGTGCTTATCTATCTTTTTATATGCATTAAATGGTGGGGTCCAATCAACATTAATGAAAAAAGAGATAGACACAAAAAAATCACATGATATAAAATTTTAACACGATAAAAATTATTCCCCCATGAAACATTTGAAATAACCCATTAGTTCAAAATAATGTTGGGAGAAATTTACCACTCAATATGATCTTGTCTCAAAAAGATTAATTTTCGGTTAACGACCTGAAAATACCTTTGTGAACCAAACAAAAAAAAAAGAATTCTAAACCCGCTATTACCATTTTTGGAGTAAGATATGATTCAATATTTATTTACATTTTTATATTTACTAATTTATTCACCATTTGATTTTATATCTTACACTAAAAATCATTTTCACAACTTAAACCTATCATTTTATTTAATTTTTTTTCTAGGACAATTATTTAACTGAATCAAAATCAATTTATAAGGGAAAAAATATTGGGATATTCAAGTTCAAGTATGATGGAATCCCATATCAGTTAGTTATGGATTAAGTGAAGTGTATATAAGTGGATAAATCCATGAACCTAATGCATTAAAATTTTGAATTGAGATATAATATCAGATCCATTTAATATAGTGGATTCAGCTTAATTGATTGATAATGGTTCCCTGCTCTTGACAAAAATTCTAGCAAATGAACCGTGAACGATCGATGAATTGCTTCAACATAGGGAAACCTTCCTTGGTTGGCCAGGTATCCCAATGTTTTTTCAAATGCAGTTCTTGTTACGAGAGTCCAGGGAAGCGCATGGTACAAAGAAATCATGCTATGCGATAATTCACTACGATATTTCAATTCAAAATCTTAACCAATTGGGTTTATGTACATTTTTATTTATGCGATTCTCACTTAAGCTATTATAACTTTTTCACTCACGCTTTAGTTTCCAACTTCAACCCAATATTCGCTCTTATAGGACTTATTTCCTTGAATTTCCAATTTACGCAGGCTAGAATATAGGCCTTGCTCAACTGTTTGGTCTGAATATGCACCAATCTACAGATATATAAGCACCGCTCATGTACCCATTGTTTTCTATATCCAAGAGATCATAAGGGCTCACATGGCTTTGTCCAATTCAACAATATCGGCAAGGTGATGATGGGCTGAGTTAACACTGAAGCATGTAAAAACCCAACGATTAGGAAGCTGGGTGCTCAAGATCGTTGAGCTGGACTATCTGTGAGTAATGCGGACCAAAATTAAGTTATAAACAATCTTATGATATGTTTTAAGTATATTAAAAAATATATATATTGGTGAAGCCGTATAATGTCAAAGTCAAACTCTACTCATATAATTAATTTCACGTAAATAATAATGTTATTAATTTAAAAAAGTTACATAATTTTATATTTTTAAATCAACAATCACAATAACTGAGGGAAGGGAACAGATTTCCGCGGACATGACATGATGAATTGATGACATGGCCTTGTCACTTTGTCCTGGACACGACGTCGTAACCTTGTGGGGTTAGGCTGCCATAAGACGAAAACATCAGGGGTAAAACCGAGAAAGAAGTTGAAAACGACAGCATCAAATTCAAATTCGAAACCATTCCAATACTCTCTCGTTCACCGGCGTTCTCATCTGTTCTGCCTCTGCTACGTCGTCGTCTCTTTCGAGTTGCAGAAAACCTAACTGCACAATCCCTACTCTCAAACGAGTCAAATATACTCTTGTTCATTATTTGATCATTCGAACGTCTGCCCTCTCCCTCATAGGTTTGAACTTGTTGCTTTGCTGCTATATCCCTCGGATATGTAAACTGAATCTATTCTAACTATTTGGGTTGTTCCACTTTTCTCTTTGATTCTCTGCCTCATTGTTTTTCTTATAACTGTTTGTTTAGTAATTTTCGTCAGATTGTTCATTTTTCTTATAGTTGAAAAATTAGTGTGATTGGGTTATGAACTATAGTTTGCAAATTAGAATTTATGTTGTTAGGTTCTGGATATACCGTATTGCTATACCGTAGGGTATGCGCTCAGAGATAGTGTATATCAACTGTATTCTAGGCTTATAGCTGAGGTCCCAATCACTGCGCACAAGCAATAGGCTTATAGCCAAGAGGTGGGTGTGTGCACAGCGTGGGCAGAAGTAATAAATGAGTTCTCCGTGTTTACCTGGGGTCCTTAGGCTCTTATTTATAGGATTACCTTCCTAGGCTTGGGCCTTTTGAGATTTCCCAATTGTAGTAGGATTCAACTCCCCTCCTGTTGGGATGTGATCCTTATCTTGTACTCTTTTGGCTGTTTGGAGTTGTTGAGATGTTGATGACTCTGTATCTCACCAGATATTCTGATAGGTAGTTGGGATATGATATTCATATCCATAACATATGTAATATTAATATCTCAAGTTTGATCTTTAGGATGTGAAATGAATTGATATATTTTTTTTTTCTTTGTAGTTTGCTATCATGGCTGAGTTGGCACCAGAAGGATCACAATTGGATGCTCGTCAACATGATGCTGAGATGAATGAGTTGTAAGTTTCCCTTTTCTTTAGCTGGATACTTAGTAGAGATGCATTGCATTGAGATATGTTTTTAGTTTCTTCGTATTAGTGATCCCCCCTTATTATTTCATACATAATGCATATCTGTGATGCTTCGATGCCTATAGTTATATGCTAATTCTTGGTTTGATACGTCAATGGGGCCAGACATGGAACTGATGGGCAAGAGAATTTTACTTCTTATGACGAAGTTTATGCAAGCTTTGATGCTATGGGATTGAAGGAGAAACTTCTGAGGGGCATTAATGCACCTGGTATGTACATTAATGCATGAACGTATCACAATTCTAAATCCTATTTCAGAACTTTGGTTTATATTATTTATGTTTGCATAGAATCTGAGATTAACTTACACTCAAATTATATGCTTCTGAGCATCTTGAATACTTTCTGCTCTTTCTTATTTTTTTGTATTATTATTATTTGTCATTTGATAACCGAGCGTTTCTAATGATTGTATTACTTCTGAAAAGGTTTTGAGAAGCCCTCTGTAATTCAGCAAAGGGTGATTGATCCTTTCTGCAAGGGAATTGATGTAATTCAGCAAGCACAATCTGGAAAGGGGAAAACTGCTACCTTTTGCTCTGGAATTTTGCAGCAGCTTGATTACAGCTTGGTTGAATGTCAGGCACTGGTTCTTTCTCCCACTCGTGAACTTGCTCAACAAATTGAGAAGGACGTGCGAGTACTTGGTGACTATCCTGGTGTCAAGGTTCATAATTGTGTGGGTGGGACCAGTGTTCATGAAGATCAACGCAACCTCTCAAGCGAGGTTCATATAGTTGTCGGTACCCCTGATCGTGTAATTGACATGCTGCGTGGACAATCTTGGCGCCGTGATTATATTAGGATGTTTGTATTAGATGAGGCATATGAGATGATGCTCTCTCGAGGTTTCAAGGATCGGGTCATCTCATTTTCCTAGGCTGCTTTTTTGAATTTGCTTCATTCTGTTGATTTGTTTTTGTGGAATAAGATTTGGCTTAAAAGTACTTTTCCGTGTTTTTATTTGAATTTTCTCCGCAATTACAGATAATGAGCTATAATAGCTGCTATTAATCTTGTTTCTATTTGTCAAATATTACATTTAGTTTCCAAGTCTGTTTAATGTTGTTCACCTTTACAACAATAAATTAGCCTGTTAAAGATGTAAATGCATATTTGACTAGTTGAAGCTGAAAGAATAGGATTATAGGAGAAACTGATACCCCTTTGTTTCCCTTTTCTTTTGTATACCTGTCTTTTATATCCATGAAATTTGGAAGAATTACACATGGGACTATTATTTGGTACAATAATTTTTAACAAAATTCCCTTTTACTAAATGTTAGTTTTTTATGTTCTTATGGGCAGGAAGGTTTTAATACTTACTTATTACCTTCTTCTTTTTTGGTTAGTGGTCTGCATATTGGTAGTTTGTGCACGTCTAACACGAAATTAAGTTATCACGACTTTATTTGCTTTTTGGTTCTAAAGTGTATCCTTCTGAATTTTGCCTATCTATTTACCCCCTTCCAGATCTATGATATTTTTCAGCTGCTGCCATCTAAGATACAGGTTGGGGTTTTTTATGCATACGGTATGTACCTTAATGCGTGAATGTGCTATAATTCTAAATCCTATTTGAGAACTTCAGTTTATATTATTTATATTTTCTTTGAATCTGAGATTAATTTACGGTCAAATTATATGCCTCTGACCATCTTGAATACTTGCTGGTCTTTCTTTTTGGTTTTTATATTATTATTATCATAATTGTTTGTCATTGATAACTGAGCATTTCTAGTGATTGTGTTACTTCTGAAAAGGTTTTGAGAAGCCCTCTGCAATTCAGCAAAGTGCGATGGTTCCTTTCTGCAAGGGAATTGATGTAATTCAGCAAGCACAATCTGAATCTGGAAAAACTGCTACGATTTGCTCTGGAATTTTGCAGCAGCTTGATTACAGCTTAGTTGAATGTCAGGCACTGGTTCTTGCTCCCACCCGTGAACTTGCACAACAACTTGAGAAGGACATGCGAGCACTTGGTGACTATCTTGGTGTCAAGGTTCATGCTTGTGTTGGTGGGACCAGTGTTCATGAAGATAAACGCATCCTCTCAGGCGGGGTCCATGTAGTTGTTGGTACCCCTGGTCGTGTAATAGACATGCTGCGTAGAAAATCTTGGTGCCGTGATTATATTAGGATGCTTGTACTAGATGAGGCATATGAGCTGATGCTCTCTCGAGGTTTCAAGGATCAGGTCCTCTCATTTTCCTATGCTGCTTTCTTTAATTTTCTTCATTCTGTTGATCTTTTGTTGTGAAATGAATAAGATTTTGGCATAGAAATACCTGTGAGTGTTTTTATTTGAATTTTCACCACATTGATAGATAATGAGCCATAGTGGTTGCCTTTAACTTTGTTACTATTTCTCAAATTGTAAATGCATATTTGACAAGTAGAAGCTGAAAGAATAGGATTATAGGAGAAACAGAAACCTTCAGTCTCTTGGCTTCCCTTTTCTTTTATATATTCATTTGTCATCTCTATGAAATTTGGAAGAATTGCGCATGGGACTATTATTTGGGATAATAATTTTTAATAAAATTCGCTTTCACTAAGTGTTTAGTTTTTTATCTTCTTATGGGCATGAAGCTTAAATACTTGTTGGGTTTTTCCTCCTTAATGCTACACAAGGCCCAATGTTGGTGAGTGGGGCTCAAGAAACTCAAGAAACTTGGGGCTCAAAAAATCCTAATCCCCACTTTTGATATTCTAGAATCTTCCCTCCTCTCTTATATATGCTTGTGTTTTGTGAGAGGTTAGGGTTAGACATTATGGAGAGCACTTCTAGGGAGAAGTTTGAGTATTAGACTTCCTTAGGGAAGTTTGAGAGAATACTACCATTGTAGGTGAGATTTGAGTGTACCACCATTATTGTTGAAGTTTGATATCTTGTACCCATTACTTTCATAGTGGAAGTTTGGTTCTAGACTAGTGTTTCGTAGGTTTTTACTTCTTCACATTGGAGAAGGTTTTCCCAAGTCAAAAGATTGTTGTGTTTCTCTCTCCATCTGCGTTTTTCGTTTTTCCGCTGTGTACAGTCCGACCTTTGATTGTGCCAAGCTCGACGTTTGATCTGTGAGACGCTTCCGTGCCGACCTTGAGGGAACCGAGTTCCCAACAATACTTACTGTTTGTCATTTTGAAATTTTATTTTATTTTTGGTTAGTGTTCTGCAATGGTAGTATGTGCATGTTTAACAGGAAATAAAAATACCAATAACTTTATCTTCCTTTTGGTTCTGAAGTGTATCCTTCTGAATTTTGCCCATATTTTTTACCCCCTTCCAGATCAATGATATTTTTCAGCTGCTGCCATCTAAGATGCATGTTGGGGGTTTTTATTCGTACGGTATGTACATTAATGCATGAATGTACTATAAGCCTAAATCCTATTTTCGAACGTTAGTTTATATTGTTTATATTTGCATCGAATCTGAGATTAATTCACAGTCAAATTATATCCCTCTGAGCATCTCGAATACTTGCTGCACTTTCTTTCTTAATATCATTGTCATTATTATTATTATTTGTCATTGATAACTGAGCGTTTCAATTACTAAAAAAAACAGAGCGTTTCTAATGATTGTGTTACTTCTGTAAAGGTTGTGAGAAGCCCTCTGCAATTCAGAAAAGGGGGATTATTCCTTTCTGCAAGGGAATTGATGTAATTCAACAAGCACTATCTGGAACTGAAAAAACTGCTATGTTTTGCTCCGGAATTTTGCGGCAGCTTGATTACAGCTTAGTTGAATGTCAGGCACTGGTTCTTGCTCCCACTCGTAAACTTGCACGACAAATTGAGAAGGTCATGCAAGCACTTGGTGACTATCTTGGTGTCAAGGTTCATGCTTGTGTGGGCGGGACCAGTGTTCGTGAACAACAACACATCCTCTCGAATGGGGTCCATGTAGTTGTTGGTACCCCTCGTCGTGTATTTGACATGCTGCGTGGACAATCTTTGCGCCCGAATTATATTACAATGTTTGTATTGGATGAGGCATGTGAGACGATGCTCTCTCGAGGTTTGAAGGATCAGGTCCTCTCATTTTCCTATGCTTCTTTCTTTATTTGTTGTTGTGGAATAAGATTTTGGCTTCAAAATATTTTTCAGTGTTATCATTTAAATTTTCATCACTTTTACAGATAATGAGCTATAGTGGTTGCCATTAACCTTGTTTCTATTTGTCAAATATTACATTTCGGTGTTCAAGTCTGTTTAATGTCTTTCACCTTTACAACAATATGTTAGCCTGTTAAAGATGTAAATGCATATTTGACTAGTTGAAGCTGAAAGAATAGGATTATAGGAGAAACAGCAACCCCTTTTTCAGGCTCTTTGCTTCCCTTTTCTTTTGTATATTTGTCTTTTATCTCTATGAAATTTGGAAGAATTGAACATATCACTATTACTTGGGACAATAAATTTTAATAAATTCGCTTTCATGTAGTATTAGGTTTTTATGTGCTAATGGGCGGTAAGCTTTAATTTTTTATTTTTTTGGTTTGTGGTCTGCATTGGTAGTTTGTGCATGTTTAACAGGAAATTAAAATACCAATTCCTTTATCTGCCTTTTGGTTGTTCTAAAGTGTATCCTTCTGAATTTTTCCTATATTTTTTTTTACCCCCTTCCAGATCTGTGATATTTTTCAGCTGCTGCCATCAAACATTCAGCTTGGGGTTTTAAAGCTGCCTGTTGTAGAAAGCTATTAGCTTTTAGCTTTGGATCTGAAGCTGTTCTTCTATATGCTTTGTTGTAATATATGTGTTAGGATGGTTATGTAAATTTTAAAAATTTTAACGTTTTATTGGAAATATACTTGACTTATCCTCATTGTTACCCCGTTAAAATGACCTATTTGTATGATGTTTGCCCTTCATCTGAATATCACAGCTGTTTTTAAGTTACAATCTAATTAAAATCCATCTTTCGGACCTAGATATGAGGACAAATTTCTGAAGTGAATTGTAGGTGCATCTATCTTTTATTTAATTTAAAGATTATAATAATTTTGATTTATTAATATTTAATAAAAAAATATTTTAACTTGTTTATTTAAAAAAAAAAATTATTATAGAGAAGTTTTCCCTCAAACGCAATGAGGTTCCGTTTCTGACTAGAGATTAGATTGCTTGACATGTATTTTGTGAAGTATCAGTGTGTGCGAGTGCGATTACGGCAATTCCTCTTGATTGGCTTGGTCAACTATCAACTTATACGACGTGTGGTGACTTGTCCTAGGGGTTACAATTTACAGTCACGTTGGCAGCTAGAAGTTGAACGTTTCCGTGGTTTTTAGAGTACAGCCAGGACAGGAGCTATTAAGAACATAAAGAATATTCTGATGGGAATTGTCAACCAAAAATAAAATGAAATTACACATGTTTCACCCTTCTTTGGTATATGCACATTGCCCTGGTCTCAATTGGTAAAAATTGGAGTTCAATCCCTCATTTGAGACTAAAAGTTTAGTCCCTTAAATTACAATTTACTTGCTAAATTGATTCTAATTAAAGAATTGTTTTTCATTTACTAACAAACTTGATTTTCATCGTTTTTAATGCCGATATGCGATATATAGTAAATATATTATTTAAAAAGGATGCAGAATTTTTTGATACCGATGTCAAACTTTACAAAATTTGACATTAAATCATAACTATTGATTTTCTCCAATCTAATGGTTATGATTATTAGGAATTATTAATTAATTAATAAGTGTGATTCAATAAATTATAACCATCAAATTGAAAGAAATCAACGGTTAATATTTGGTGCCAAACTATTTAATTTGACATCGGTGTCAAATGATCATGTCCCTTTATAATATAAGTGAGGATATATTTTTAAGTAATATTGAAAAAATTTAGAGAAAGAAAAAGAAAATATAAAAAATTGAAACATAATAAAATTTGTAACAAAAAATAATGTACGTGCATTTGAGAAGCATACATTTCTGATTGTTATCCTCTAAATGATTTCAGATCCAGCCACCCAACATGTTAAATTAGAATTTATTCTCTATTAAAGAATGACATGCTTAAATCTAAATGATTAAAAACATCACAAAGAATCTAAAAAACTGTGGTTATGACTTATGGTTGTTTCCTATGAATCCACATTTGATCATCTCGCTTAAATGACCAAGTAATTTCAATATATATGTTTATGAGGTTAATTATATGTTCTTAAAATATCTTCTCAATAATACTCTTACTATATAAACAAATTAAATAAAAATTATATTAAATACTTTAATAATAAAAAATGTTCAATACTTTTAAGGAGTTAATATTTCTTATTTCCAAAAAAGGAGTTAATATTTCTCTTATTGTATGAGATAAATTTTAAATTTTATCTTATATATACACATAAAAATATGTAAAAAAAAATAATATAAATCTCACATGTTTAATTACCAAGTTGAAATTATGATTCCTGAAAATTGGGTCAAAAAAGATTTTTATCTTTCTTGTTGTCGTGGGTGAAAAAGTTATCAGAATTCGTGCTAGATAAATTGTCTTTTCGAGGAATCGTTTGTTAGGGTCAAAAAGCAAAATCCTTAACCAACAAAAAGAAGAAGAAGCAAAATCCTTAGAATTTTAAAAGCTTAGACATTAGGCAATATTGATTCCCCATTAAACACGCAATGTCGCAATCTAGAGAATAAAAATATCAGTTGTCCCCAAAAGTCAGTAACAGTGGATTGGATTTAATATCATAAAACCTAAAATAAAATTCAAAGTAAAACAAAGCCACCGCAGACCGGAACTCCTATGGTCTTTGTTGGACCCCACATAACCACTGTCCCTCAAATTTTGATAATCTCACTAATAGAAGAATAAAGTTTAAGCCTTGAAGAGAAACAAACCCTTCAATCTTCTTTCTGCCTAATTTTCCATGGAGGACCTTCACAGATCAAGGTCTTATGCAAATGGGCAAATGATGCAGATGCAGAGTTACTATGGAGCACCTAGGTCTTATGATTTCAGGAGCCAGAGTGTTTCTTATGAACAAACTCAAATGGGTCCTAAGGACTTAAAGTTGAAGAAAGGGAAAAGCTTTTCTGCTGGGTCTTCTTTCTCCAAGTCTTGGAGCTTAGCTGATCCTGAGGTTCAGAGGAAGAAGAGGGTTGCCAGCTATAAAATGTATTCTGTGGAAGGTAAGGTCAAAGGATCCTTCAGAAAGAGCTTTAGGTGGCTTAAGAACAAGTACTCGCAGGTTGTTTATGGCTGGTAGTCATTTAATTGGTACTTGTATTTAAGGCTCTCTTTATAAATCTGAGTTGTGTTCTGTTCATGATAAGAATTGTAGATTAATCATTTATGGGTTATGATTAGTTTACTTGAGTTCTTCAAATCTTTTGTTTATATGTTAGATGGATGACCCGTTCCTTTACTTATTGGGTCCTGAAAGATCTTCCTTGAGTGATCAAATTTTATATTTATTTTGCTGTTCATGATTTTAATTTTATCATGGGTTTGATGGAATAAATCGTGTTTGTTGTGGTGATGTTTCCATTCATTGAGACTTCTGTAATATGTACTTTCACAATCCTCTCTTTATTGCTAATATGCTGTTACTGTTATTTGGGCTGTTATTTGGGTACAAACAAACAATCCCCTATTTTTGAACAGAATCAGTTTTGCAACAAATAGCTTCTTCACTGGTGAAATCTTAGGTGTTTTTTAGTTCCCCCTTTCTTTTGACATAATTCAAGGGAATTCTGCTTGCATATATGTTTCTCGGCAACTTTATAGTTACTATTATTTTAAGTTTACCACCCTTATTGTTTGATTAGTCATCGTGGAATCAATTTCAAATAAAAAAAAAAATAGTTGATAAGATTAAATTAATAATAAATATAACCGTGTATCTTTCCTCTAAATGTTTTAAGTTCATATCCATGTGTTACAAGCAATTGTGTCTTTTGCTGAGTCATGTGGATAGGCCGTATTAATCCAATATTTCCATTGGTTTTTGCTTAATTCATCCAAATTATTTAAGATTTGAGAGGAAGATGTCATCTTAATGTTGAAGACTTGAAGCTGCCAACGACCTTCTTAGGTGTAGATTTTTATGATTCATTTTGTCTTAAATAAAAATTGGATGACCATGGACGCCTGCTATAAGATATCATTGTATAGATCTCGAAAAGTTTTTTGTGAAATAAAATAAAAAATCATCTGATTTGAATATCCGAATCAAAAATTGTGACCTTCGAAAGTGATTGGTGATTAATACATTAATTGTGACTGGTGATTGGTACATTAATTAAATAGCTCTTCTCCTTCGTTTTTTGTTGTTGTGATTAGTACATTAATTTTGATCGGGTAACGAGATTGTACCATATAGCACACCTAGTTCGCTATCCGTGGTAGCGAACTTAGTCCAGTCAATTTTTTCTGTGAAAGTATATCACGTGTCATGAAATTATTGGCTATCAAGTTTGCTACCAGTCGTAGGAAACTTGAATATGTGGCATCAGCTTTTTCTGCAAAAGTGTGTCAGGTGTCACGAAATTATTGGCTACCAAGTTTACTATCAATCATAGCAAATTTCAATAAGTGTGAGTCTAGTAAAAAATACTATTTACATAACAATTGGATAAAAAATTTGCCATAAATGTTGTCAGTCTGATCACTGTTCCCGTATTTGACTACTATATTGTTTTTCTACTATATTGTTTTTGGGTGATAATCATTTTTTTATCAAAAGCTTTCTTTAAAGTGAAAAATATAAACTATTATTTTATCTAAAATCAACTAATGTGAACATGCGAAGTGAGTTATTAAATATTTTAACTTATTTCAATCGGTGTACTTTCATGTATTAACAATTAGACAGGTATTTTGGTTGGGTTTTTAAATTTATGTAAAATTAAAAAATATTTATAAGAAAATATTTTAAATTATAAAATATATTTTAGAATAAGTATTTAAAAATAAAAAATGATCAATTAAATTAAGAATGACATATTTAATTCTTGGAATAATAGGTTCTCATGTTGCGGGAATTTGAATTTTTTCTGTAAATCAGTGTTATCAAACTCGACCCGACCTGATCGGGTGGATCCGAAACTGGAGAACCTGTCATTGGATCGGTTTGAGTCAAGTATCAGACTGGTTATGTAACAGACCCGGTCAAACCCGGCCAAAACCTGCTAGAATTGGTGACCGGGTCAGGTCTTGAAAATCGGCGAGTCATGTATTTTCATAAAAAATAAAAAATAAAATCAAAAACCAAAGTTGTTTTATCTTGTCTGAAAAATGTAGATCTCATTTTAAAAACTTTTGTAATTTTATTTGCTAGTAATATATTCTTCTATAGTGACTTCAAATTTCAGCTTTTAAGACTAAAACAATATGCGGAACAATAGAATAAGAGAATATGACATATGTCATTTCAATATCATATGAATTTGAAAAATATGAGTTTTCAATATTTAGCCTTTTGGATGTCATTGAGAGATATACTTGTGGGATTCTGAGTTGTAATCTAAATTGATATAGTAATAGCGTGCATTTTCATTTATTTGTGTTTATTTGGTGTAATTTATTGATTAATTATGAACTTGTAAAAATGTGATTGAGTAATTTTTGAATTTATTTAACGAATCTTGTTTAATTCATTCTATATATGGAGAATATAATTAAATGAATCTTGTTTAACTCATTTTAAATATGAAGAATATAATTAAATTTATATGTTCACACACACACACACACATATATATATATATATATATATATATATATATATCCGAGTCGACTGGTCCGACCAATAATCCAGTAACCCAGTATCCCGACCGGGTCGGGTTTAATAACATTGCTCGGGAGAGTACATAATTATAATATCAAAATTATCTACTCTCCGAAATACGTAGTTTGCACTAGAATTCTAAATTCTTGCAACATGGGAAAAAAGAAATTCTTAATTCTTTTGAAAAATAGAATAACAAATTACTAGTTTTTTTTTATAAACTTTGATAATAAAAAAAACCTTTTGTGATATAACTTTTTTTGAATTTTTTTTAACTTTTGAAAAAAGTACTGAAACTATTTTTTTAGGTTTTCCCCTTAAAAAAATAATTATTAGAAGATTTTGAATTAAAGAAGTATTTTTTTTAAACAAAAAATAAACAAGTGGGTTGTAAGCTACTCTAAAATTTTACTCTAATTTAATATATGGGAGCAGATTATATATTTATTAGTTTAGATATAAATTCAATCTTCTCTAAAATTTGAAAACACACAATAAAAAATAAAGAAAAAAATTTTAAAAAAATTGAGAAAATGAAGGAACAATCTGAACATTATCTTTGATGAACAAAAATATTCAAAAAATGTGTTTTTCAACTGCAAAACCGCATCTCATATAGAAGAGAATAATATTAAAAAATTAAATATGAATGAATGTGTTTGTGTTAGCATGTCTCATTAGAGAGAAAAAAAAATGAAAAAATATTTCAGTCTTAATAATAGTGGATGTGGGTCTCACTGTTGCTGCCTTAGCAGCTTCCAATTCCCATTATCTTGTCTCACGGCAAATCTAGATAAACATGAATTTGACCTCTTTTTTCAGGTACATGAATTAGACATGTTTTGCAGCCAATGCCACGATTCTGATTCCACTCTGTCCTTAATCTTTATACAGTTTTTTTAAGGAAAACTGGTCAATTTTTGGTATGGTTATTGGGATTAATATTTTTTATTTTGTAGGAAATAAAATTATCTCTTACATATATATAAAAATATATATAATTTATGTGGAATCATTTAAAGAGAAGAAAAAAAAATATTAATCCCGTATATTTTTATGTATATGTAAGAAATAAAATTATCTCTTACCGTAAAAAAAATATTAATCTCATTCATGTTGCATTGTTTATTTCTCATTCCAGCATCAGTTAAAACAAAAAGCAAGCGTTGAAATGAAACAGCAAATAAGTGGAAGGAATAACTACCAAAAAAAATCAGTGGAAGGAATAACTAAAGTGGTTTGGACCACAACTCGCCAAGCAACAAGACACAACGGCGCTTTTAATTTATATGAAGTTTCTTGTACCTAATTGATGTAGTGGCCAGACACCTATGCCACTAGCCCCTCTGAGTTCGTTAATAATAAATGTCCAATTGATATGCTATTTTTGAATGTAAAGGAATAATTATAGCACAGTTGGAAGACCCAAATGATTGAAAGGATAGTTTATACTTATAAATTTTTTCATTATAAACATAACTCATATGTTAAAAGAAATGTTTTAGAAGCACTGGTATTATGTTTTTTACTATAGATGTTGACACAGCCACGTGCCTTTTATTATGGTTATTATTATTATTATTATTATTAATTTATTCGGGGAGCGAGATTTGAGATCAAATGTGAATCAATGATGGTGTAATGATGTTTATGCGAGTTTGGCGAGAATGTGCGATTTGGTGCTACTGTTGTATTAAGATTCAGTGCATCTCATCAATGAAAATATTACACATTATAGGAGAGAAAAAAATTTGTCAGAGAAAATAAAATTTTAGCTGATATGTAATAATTTTATTGGTGGGATGTACTGAATCTTTGATGCTACAATAGCACCAAAGATTTGTTCGCGAGAATGGATCCTCTTATGTAAAAAGGTAATCACGTAGTCATGTTATTTGATCATAATTACTTATTTAAAAATTATATATTTTTTTCTCTCTTATCTCATTATCAATAAGTGGTTGTAATCAAATAACATGACCACATGATCACTTTTTCATATGAGAGGATCTATTCTCAAGTTTCGCTCGGCCTTCCATGGCAGTATCCTATTTCTAGGGATGGGAAATTGCATTCTTAAAGCGAATTCATCACCAACAAATGTATTCATTTTCCGGAAATTTTGCTGAAATTTTTTTTTAAAAAAAAAAATTATATACTACAGATAGTATATAATTATAATATTAGAATTATTGTTTTTCTTTCTTTTTTCAAATATTATAGACTAACGTGACGAAAAAAGAAAAAATAAATTTACTATTATAATTATATACTATTCATGATATATAATTATAATAGATTATTAGAGATAACTTTTTTCAATCGACATAAAAAAAATGGAATCCTTTATTTTCAACGGGTTATGCAGAAGGTAAAACGCAAACATATCAATTCCATTAATATACAATACGCGGGTTCCTCTGGCCCATTAATTATTTATTATAAGGCCAGGGACATATCTGCTGTGATATGATATCCACCCATCTATAAATAAACAATCATGACCAGGTTACGTGTGGCTAGTGCCAAACTAATGCACTGGTCACAGTAATCTTATTCTGCTCCATAAATATCTTATTTTCCACTTTTAGTATATCATCGGAAACTTATTTCCCTCTCCACACTCTACATAATTTTCATAATTTCACGGTCTCAAAAGTCCAATTAATTTTTTAAAAAATTAGTCAAGTTATTATTTTTATATATTGCAATAATAGAAAATCTAGAAGTCCACAAAACATGACGTTTGAATGTAACAATAGACTGGAATCAGTGAATAAAGCGATGCAATTGCTGCAGTGTATTAACTGAGAGATAGAAATTAAATTGCATGTAAGGGATGGCACATAAAGAACGTTGGTAAGAAGCAACGTAGATGTGAGTTGCACATCCCCACATTGGACCGCAGCGGTACGGGTTCCATTGGGTAAACCGACTGAGCACGGAGGAATAACTCGGATATTAGTGAGGAAGGAGAGTGTGCCAGTCATATGTTGTGAAGCCCCACTGTCCAGAAGCCAAGGATGTAGGAAGGAAACAATACCCGATAATTTGTCAGTTGTTGCTTTAGATGAGACAGCAAGAGACATTAATTGTTGAACCATATCAGGAGTAAGATCAGTAGCAGACAATGGTTTTGGGACACCAGTAGGAGGAGGTAATGCATCCGAGTAAGTGGCATGAGCAAAAGCATGGGCAGAACGTCCTGGGTTGGAGCGGCCGCGACCACGTCCTCTTCCAGCAGTCATGCGATCAGGGTAACCATGAAGTTTGTAACACCGGGAAGCGTCATGATTGGGACGTCCACAGTGGGAACATATGATGCGGGCCTTGGAAGGATCCGGTGGTGCAGTGTGAAGAGCACAGCCGAGAGCATCAGATGGAATTTCAGCAGTCCGAACCATAGCCTTATGGGATTCTTCTTGAATTACCATAGCAAAAACACGATTGATAGTGGGGAGAGGATTGTTGTTGAGAATTTGAGTAATGAGAGTACCATATATATGATGATCAAGTCCGATAAGGAATTGATAAACTCGATCATGTTCGAGTTCAGCAGTGACAGATTTGGTAAAGGCACACGTATCACCAGATGCACATGCAGTAAGCTTGCGGCTTGATTCCAGTTCATCCCAAATTGAACGAAGTTTAGTGTAATAGTCAGTAACAGGGACGCCATTTTGCTTCATAGTGGCGAGAGCAGATTTGAGAAAAAAAATACGAGGAATGTTTGCAACAGCAAAACGTTCCTTTAGATCATCCCATAGATTCTTCGCAGTGTCGAAACATTTGATGAATGGCTGCATCTGAGGATCGATGGTATTGTGAATCCAACTATTAATCATGGAGTTGCACAGGGACCAAGCATGAGCTTCATCAGAGGAAGCATCAGAGGGTTGCGTAACGCTGTTATCAACAAAGCCAAGCTTATTTTTGGCTTTCAAGGCGTTGCTCATGAGTTTGGACCAGTTTTGATAATTGGATTGGCCACGTAGAAGGACAGTAGTGAGAATAACCCCAGGGTGATCAGAGGGATGAAGGTAAAGTGGTGATTTTGGGTCTGTGATTTTAAGAGTGGAGGCAGCCATAGTGGGAAAAAAAACTGACTTTAGAATCGTCTAGCTCTTGATACCATAAAGGAAGTTGTGAGTGAACAGCTTAGCTTTCTATTCATGTATTGGTCATTTAAATACATCTATCAGCAACTAACTATAATACACATACGTAGGAATCTATTCCTAAGATAAAGGAAGAGTTGCAACTAAATTACAAACATAGAACAAACCTATCAACAACCTAAAACTAAATTACAAACATAGAACAAACCTATTAACAAACTAACAAACCAAGTAACAAACTAACAAGGGAAACCTATCGTAATAAATGTGATAATAGTTTTTTTTAAAAAAAGAAGAAGATTAATGCAATAAAGGTTGAAGCAAAATAAATTATTTCTGTCATGATCAATAATTCATGATGACAATACTTGAATTGTATACTCACATTAATTATGTTGGCAGATAAAGAAAAACAAATAAAACATGCTAAAGATTACAAAGCTTTACCAATGCATAACAACATAATGTTAATGTTGGGTTAGCCGTAGATGATAGAGATTGAAAAATATATTAGAGAATATGATATTTTGAAGAGGTATCTGCGAATAGAGTAGATATTTCAAAGGGATTTTCCTTTCCAAGTGACCAAAAGATTCTTGATGAAGATCAACATAAAGGGGCATGTAGGAAGCCAAAATACTTGCACCCTAGGGGTTTCCCAATGAACCTTCTCTGCGAAAAAGAAGTTTCGTATAACGCTTAGGACATTCATACAAAGGTATAATATAAAAGTAGTCTTTGTTTTGGAACAAAACAAGACTTGAATGAAAAGTTGGCTCGCAAACTCCCGGAAGAGTTGGACTTAATTCTTGATCAAGAGAAAAAATTATGGTTCCGGAAAGCAAGAACAAAATGGATAAATAATGGGGTTAGGAATACACCATTTGGAGACTGCAACTACTATTGGTAATGCAACTACTGCTACGAAGGCTGCTCTTATTGATACAGGTACAAAGACTTATACTAGCTTCCTCCCCTAATCGATCTCTACCCTTCCTCTCATGGGTCGAGTTAGAACATCCCTCTCCACTATTCCTATTCATATGAAGTAGGGTAAGATATATTCCATTTTATCCATAACTAAAGTAAGAAAGTGCAAACTCGAGTCAAGCAAGATGGGGAAGCACTTCAAGTAGATTTCTCCTAAACTTAAACTGCATGTGCTCTTAGGGAATAATCTCTTTCTTATTTCTTCCTTTTTTTCCCATGACGACTAGGAACGGGCAAATCAAAAATTTCACTTCGAATTTCGAACCTTAACATCGTGCTGCTCATGGTGTTTCACGATCAGTATTGGAAATGAACAGAGAAGTGGTGGAACGTGTGGAACCACATATTGGATCACTCTAGTGCGGCACGAAGCCGCTGACGCCGAGGGCGTTTGGTAGAAGAGAATTTTTTTTTATCCGGGAATCTCGATTTTCAAAAATATGATAAAAACATTCAGTTTACGATAATATCCGAAAATTAAAAATGTAAAAAAATTCAGTTTTCCGAGAATCCTACAAAATGCCTTGTACCAAATGCCCTTTAATTGTATTTGGCTGAGAGAACTCTCTCATATAGCCTTAAGAGTTATTTTTTGTCATTTCTACATATCGTTGTTCTATGATGATTCTCTGTTCGCAGAGAGTGGCACATCACCACAACCAAATGGCCAACCTTAGACGATGAGGACACAACGAATCTTCAACTTAGGGATGTAAATAAACAAAACTTTGACTTAAATAGGACAAGTCTTATGTAAAAAATATTGGGTTTGAGCTGGCATGTTGGCCTGTATAGGCCCCAAATTACAAGTCTGACCTGGCATTTAAAAAATAAAGTCTTGGCCTGAGTCTGTTAGCCTGTTTAAGCCTATTAAACATTCAATAATTAAAAGAATAACTAAAATAATATTACTTTATTATTCAAAATTATTAAAATATTATTTTTGTTTATTTTATTTAAAATATAATATTATATAGGCCGACCTGTAGGCTTATAGGCCCGACATGTACAAAAAAGCTTATGGCCTATTTTCTCAATAGGTTTTTTAAAAACCTAGGCCTGTTCTATTTTACTATTTGTTATAGGTCAAGTCTGGCTTAATATAAGCTAGGTCGTAGGTCTCTGTAGGCCGGCCTAACCCATTTATACCCCTACTTCAGCTCCCAACGGAATTTAACGAAATCTAAGAGCTCCCAATGCAATCTAACGAAGTCAAGAAAGCCATGTTCATGATTAAAGATAAGAAGTGTCCTAAATCCACTGTGTGCCTCAATCCGGCTCGCTGGCTAAACCTTTTAATTTGGATAAGGAGTGTCTTTCCCTTGCCGTCTTGGATCACCTTGTCAAGGATGATGCCATAATGACCCACCCTTCTTCTGGTCAGATTAATTCAAAAGGTCTTTTCCCAATAGAGGACAACACCAAGTCTGTGCCCCGTGACATTTTAAATGAGGCAGGTCCTCCGAATAATGTAGTTGATGTTGGTATGGAGGTGGAAAAATGTGAAGAATGTATCAATACTGATTACATTATAGAGAGTAACCACGAACTCATTAATCTTGGAGCTTGTATAGTTTTATAATGAATTGTCTTGTGTGGAATTGTAGGGGTGCAGCAAAAAAAACCCTTCAAAATAACCCTTCGCAATTTCGTTAGGAAGCACAAGATTGGTTTGGTTGCCATCTTCAAACCAAGAATCAGTGGTGTTTTGGCTCAAAAGAAGATTAAGCAGATTGGTTTTAAACATTCTGTGATTGAGTAAACTGTAAGTTTTTTTAGTGGTATTTGGATCCTTTAGAAAGAAGAGAGTTTCTCTGTCACTCTCATAGAAAAATCTAATCAGTTTGTTCATGTTTCCTGTCATCCTAATTATGGTCCTACCTTTCTTTTAACTATGGTTTATGCCACTCCGAATGAGGGCTTGTGTGAAGCTCTTTGCTTAGACCTTATTAGAATTAGTGGGATTATTGTGGGTCCTTGGATGATGATGGAAGACTTTAATGAAATTGTTTCAGCTAAAGAAAAGAAAGGTGGTGCTCCCTTTAATCTTGCTAGATGTTCAAAGTTCTCTTCTGTCCTTAGTGACTATAATGTCCTTGACCTTAGCTGTAGAGGGTCTAATTTCACTTGGAGAGGTCCCAAATGGCTGCAACTTAATAGAGTTTTCAAAAGACTGGATCGAGTGTGTGCTAACACTGATTGGAGAACCAAATTTGATGAAGCATATGTTAGAACTATGCCCCACCTTAATTCTGACCACAACCCCTTCCTCCTCTCTATCCTCCAATTTATAATTGGAAACATAGGCCCTTCAGATTTCTGGCGGCCTGGCAAGACCATTCTTCTTTCCCCCATTTTCTTAAAGATGTCTAGTGCTCAAACCTCAGCATAAATCTTAGCCTTGCCAACCTTGTTGATCCATTGAAATCCTGGAATAAAAGAATGTTTGGTTACATTTAGCTTAGTAAGGACTTTCTGTTGAAAAAACTCCATAAGACTCAGTTACTGAATCTTCTTCACCTCCCAGAGGCTGAAAATTGTCTTGGAAAATGCCCTTCACGCTGAGCTAAATCAGGTTTCTAAGTAAGAGAAAGTTTTATAGTTCTAGAAAGCGAGATGTAAGAGGATAGAAGATGGAGACCGAAATATGAGGTTCTATCATACTACAACTATTATCAGGAGGGTCAAAAATAAAATTTTGGAGCTGAAAAATGATGAAGAGCACTTTGTGAGAGAGGAAGAAAGTCTGCTCAATTTTATTCATACCTTCTTTGGGAACCTGATTATTGAATAATCTCTTTATAGACCTTGGATTACCACTAAAAATAGTTGGCCAGTGATTGAGAGTAGTGTTTTGGATGATATGAAGAAGAACATTTCGGATGCTGAGATCAAATAAGCTTATTTCATTATGGGAGCTCTCAAAGCCTCGGGTCCTGATGGATTTTTAGCCTTATTTTTTCAAAAAAATTGGAGTATTGTGAATAAACAAATTTGTGATTGTGCGAGACAAGTGTAGAACAACCCTGTTGAGATCAAAAACCTCTAAAAAAACCTTTTTGGTATTTATTCCCAAGCTGAATAAAACAGAAAAAAATCTCACAATTTAGAACCATCGCCATGTGTTCTGTTCTATATAAAGGTATAATCAAGATAATTGTGAGCAAGCTGAAACCTCTTCTTCAAAAATTGATCTCTCCCTTCCAAGCTAGTTGTGTTCCCATCGCCATGTGTTCTTTTCTTATGGAAGCTTCTTGATTCCGGTGTGTTGATCTAAACTCTTGCATGAAAACAGATGTGTCCTCTCTGAAAGCATTTGCACCTTGAATATAATCAGAAGTGGTCTTGCATAGCTGTGCAAAAGATTTCTCCCACTCGGAAGTGTTACTTTGTTGTGGGGTATGTGGTTGCACTGGAAGGGAATGATTGAGCTGATGGTTGGATTTGTAACCCAACTCTGGATGTTGATTATGATTCTTCTGATCATACCAGAGTCCGTTTACTTCAGCAGTTTCAAGTGCTCTTATGAAGTCGCAGTCTTCAGTAGCATGAGTACCTGCACATATACCACAAGTAATTTGAGGATTATTAATAGAAGAAACTTGAGAATTAGCAATCTACTTTGTGAGAGCATCTAGTTGTGCTTGTTGTTTCTTGTTTATTTGCAATATTTGTTCATTCTGAGCTAATATCGCATCATAGCCCTCAAGCTTCATGATTCCCGCTCTCCTTTGTGAAACTGGATCATTGTCGAACTCCTGAGAGGCTAAAGATTCTAGCAATTCTAGTGCTTTCTCTGGAGTTTTTGTTTTCAATTATCCTCCTGCTGCAACATTCACTAAGGTTCTTATGCTGGATGTCATTCCTTGGAAGAAAATTCGTCCTTTCTCCCAAGCTTCAAAACCATGTTGGGGACACGTTCGGAGTAGTCCTTTAAATCTTTCCCATGCCTCGTACAAGGATTCACTTTCTTTTTGTTCAAAAGCAGTAATCTCTGCTTTGAGCCTTGCCATCTTTGAAGCTGAGAAGAATCTGGCCAAGAACTTGGTCGCCAAATCATCCTAGTTAGTGATGCTTCTTTGAGGCAGTGACCGTAACCACCCTCTTGCTTCTTCCTTCAGTGAACATGAGAAGAGTCTGAGTAAGATGGCATCACATGAGACTCCTTTCATCTTTAAGGTGTCACAGTAGAGCAAGAAATTCTCTAGATGACTGTAGGGGTATTCGGTGCTTCCTCCAGCGAACTGATCTTTTTCAATCAATTGTAACAGCGCTGGCTTGAGCTCGAAGTTGTTAACATCCACGGTTGGTCTAACAATGCTTGTCGTCTGCGGAACTAGGGTTGGCGTCATGTAATCTCCCAGCGTCCTCTGAACGGGTGGAAGTCGATTGTTATCTGCCATTGTTTCTTCCTTTGGTTCCGTCGAGCTTGATGTTTCTTTTTGTTTCTTTTTCTTTTATTTCTTTTGGGCTTTTTCTTAATTTTCTTTCTGTCTTTTCTATCTCAGGATCAACTGCAAGATTCGTGGGTTAACAGTACCTCGCATAAACCAAGATTTAAAAGATACAGAAAATAGAAAATGCAGAATGCAGAAAACAAAAAACAAAAACAGAAAAAGAATGCAGAAAATTAATTAATAAAAAATATGCAGAAAATTGATGCAGAATAATGAATTGCAGAAAATTAAAAAACGTCCAATCTAAATTTTTTTTAGTTACTTCTAATGTTGAAGGATCCAATCCCCGGCTACGGCACCAAAAACTTGTTGCGACTTTGGCAAGTGCACCGATCGTAAAAGTAATAAAAGTGTACTGAGTACAAGATCGTTCCCACGAGGATTAGTTTTCAAGCACTAGTTCGCTAACAACGATTTAGTTGGACAATCAAATTTGAGATGAAAAGAATTGAAACAATCAATAACATGCAATTTCAGAATTAAAAGCAAGAAATTAAAAAATGAAAGTTTTGAAAATCGAGAAAGAGCGTAGTTAAGGTTTCGACTTCCCCCAATTTCCTCTTTATGCTATGAATTAAATTGCCAAGAATCTGTTCTTAATATATTGCCAATCAATTCTTTCTAAGTTAATTAGGGCTCAATTTCTTGTTACCCTAAATCTATGTTATCTTGAAAGAACTCTAGTTCTCCGATTATTCCCCAAGAAAAACATGCATTAAGATCAAGAATTTAAAGATTGCATAATTACCCTATGTCTATCCCTAGATCACAAGGATTATGATAAATTTACCAAGTCGGGGTTCATGCACCAACATCCCTATTGTCATACTATTCTCCAAAATCATTCTATAAGTAGCAAACTCATAGAAAGCATTAAAGACATATAAATTTATTCAATTATGAAAAGAAAAGAATTCAAGAATAATTTAATCCATAAACGTAAAGATTCAATTGGGTTCCATCTACCCTAACTACATAAAAGATTAGCCTAGCATACTGAATTGAGAAACAATAATAAAGAAAAGAGAACCCCAAGCCTCCATTGGTGTTGACTTGGTTCCTCAGTGCTCCAATGCTCCGCAACAGGATTCCTCCCTCAAGTCTCTGTGTAATTCTCTGAATTGGTTAATTGGTGTTTTTCCTTGACCCTCAACTCCCTATTTGTAACCATTGAAGCCATATCTTTTTAATTCTCCCAATGAATCCTTATCAAATTTGCAATCAAATCTTTAATTGCTTCTTCTTTTTTATTTAAGATCTTGCAGATTGGGTGATAGATTGAGCTTCAAATCTTTGTTATGATCCCTTATCAAATCTTCCCAGGGATCTCTATCAATTGATAAATCAAGATTGATTTGCTTCCGCTTTTATTCGAAATATTACAAATCTTATCAATTAGCAAATCAAATCAAATCTTGGGTTGACTGGGTTCATATTTGGGCGCTCAAGCGCGCTACACGGTGTTTGAGCGCACTCTTGTGCATAAAATTTCTGGAGTTGTCTGCCCATGCGCGCTCGAGCGGGCATTTGGGCGCTCGAGCGTGCTCCTCGATGGTGAAATCTTGTAATCTTAGGCGCTTGAGCGTGCTCTTGGGCGCTTGAGCGCCCTGAATTGCTCAATTTAGCTGATCTTCCTGCCTGGACGCGCTCGAGCGTCCATTTCTGCTCTTGAGCGTGCTCTTCTGGCCCTTGACTTGTATTATTTTGGCTTCCTTTGATCCATATTGAGTTGCAATTCTTTGTCATGATTTCTTCATTACTTCTTAGCACAAATAAGTGTGGTTTTACCTTTAAAATGCAAAGAAAATCAAAATGTTAGCTCAAATTCCTATCTTATGACACATATGTTATAAAACCTTGAATTCCATGCAATCTACTACATAATTCTTGTATAATTTAGCCTAAAAACATGGTAAACCAAAAATTTATCAGGTAGTGACTTGACAGATGCCACTTCTACCCTGATATAATGGATTCTTGCCTTCATATCTTCAGAGACTGTCCGAAAGCCAAGCAATTCTGGACCTTGCCTCTTTTACAGCCTTTATCCACTGGTTTTTTCATTACTTCGAATTTTAAAGGCTGGTTGGATCAAAATTCCAGTCGGCCTAAGGGCTACTCTTTTGATTGGAAAGACCCTTTCTTCTTTGTTTACTATTTCCTTTGGCTTTGGAGAAATAAAGAGCTACATGAAGAGAACTACAGGATACCTGACAACCTTACTAAGTTTCTTACTGATCTTTTGGAGGAGGCCAAAAATACCAGAGCTGTTAAAAAAAGCAGAGCTAAGGTTACTACCACTCTCCCCTGCTATTCTTATTGGTCTCAGCCAAAAGTGGGAGTCTCAAAACTTAACATAGATGGTGCTATTTTGGGGGATAGAGCTGCCTATGGAGGTATTCTGAGGGACAACAACAGTTGCTGGCTTGGTGGTTTATCTTCTTTCCTTGGCTCTTGCTCCCCTCTTCAGCTGAACTTTGGGCTATCCTCCATGGCCTTCAATTTTCCTGGAAGCAAGGTTGCAAGAATATAGTGGTTGAATCTAATTCTAATCAAGCTATTAGCTTACTTACCACCCTTGTAATGGTTCTCGAAAGCTTCTCTGGTAATTAAGATTTGAGGGTGGCTTCTTAAAGATTTGAGTGTTGTTATCTTACATATCTTTAGATCTTAAAACAATTGTGTCGACTGGATTTCTAAGAAGGCTATCAATGATGCTTTTGGCCTGCTTTTGATCTTTTCTCCTCATCCATATCTGACCAAACTTATGGAAACTGATCGCATCAACCCTGGTTAAGAGATGATTGCTGCTGCTTATTTTTGTTCTATTGTTTCTTTCTATTTTCTCTGTCTGTTTTTAGTTTTTCGTTGTTTTTGTTTTCTTGCTTTGTTGGGGCTTTGCCCCTCATTGTACCCAAAAAAAAAGTACAAGGCAATGGAATATTGGATTATAAGATATAACATTATCTCCTCAAAACGAACACATTATTTTGATAACCTTATTAAATCCATATTATAAAGGAAAAAATATTTCTGCAGTTACTGCAGATAAGTTATCTGCATTTATTTTCAAAACGACGTCGTTTTGGTAGTGAAATCTTAAAAAATTATAAATATAAAGACTATTATAACCCTGAAATAAATTAAAATTACAAAAACACCATGATTTTTGCCTCAAAACGACGTCATATTCAGCTTACTGCAGATAACTTATCTACAGTAACTGCAGAAAAAATAAACCCTATTATAAATTGGATTATTGTTTTTCTTTTATTTTGTACCTACACATGAGGTGGGCGGGACCAAGTGAGAATAAAAGAGAAAATGAAAAAAATGAGCTCGATGTGTGTAGAAAATAAAATTATCTTATATTTACGTTAGAAATATTAAAATTTAAAGTCATTATAATTATCCACCAATGTGTGTTATTACGTATTCAAGACAAAGTACATGTGTTAGTTTTCAAGTAGAAGGAGTGTAGGTTTTTTAAAGAAGATTTTTAGTTTGATTTTTATAATTATGTATCCAGAATAAAAAAACTGCAACAAATAAATAGTTTTAAAGATATTAAATAAAGGGGAAAGATATTGTAACAATCAATCAGTGTTACTACTAATATTATTACCAATTAATTTCATCGTTAGATTGATTATGTTGATCCACGGTTATATTTATTTTCATCTTTCTATAGTTATGATTTTCCATATTTAATATTTTATATTTATTTCCACATTTGTATGATTATAATTTCTCATATTTAATGCTTTCTCATTAAATATGGGGAATCATAACAATATAAAGATGAAAATAAATATAACCATTATATCAACATAATCGATCTAATGGTGAAATTGATCGGTAGTAACATTAATAATATTATAATATCCTATCCCTTAAATAAATAATTAATATGTAATTTATGACCATTAAGGAATCCTATAACAAACGGAAACACAGAGCTGGGCACGCAGAGCAGAGGGAGGAAGAAAGGGTGGGAAAGAATGTGGGAATCAATAGTTTTGACGGTGGTTGCGACCGCCGGCAACAACATCGGCAAGGTCCTTCAGAAGAAGGGCACAGTCATTCTTCCCCCTCTCTCTTTCAAGTTCAAGGCACGTTTCTCATTTTTAACTCTCCTTTATGTTTTTCCCCCCTTATGCCCATTATTTGGTTTCCATCAAAATCTCACCTTTTAAGATAACTATATGATTTTAAACATATGCATATGATTTTTCTTTGCTGTCAATTCTCTTTATTGGATTTTTTGGAATGGTGAAATTGGGTACATGCATGTGCATATGTATGAGTATGACTATTGGATTTTGGGTTGAGAAAGTTTGGGTAAATATTTCATTTTGAATTGAAGCATATGTGGCCAGGAAGTTACTGTTTGATTAAGTTTTAACATTGCTCTTTTGGACTTCTTGATAATTTGTGTTTGCAGGTCATAAGGGCGTATGCTTTAAACAAAACCTGGGTGATAGGTTTTCTAATGGATATATTTGGGGCATTATTGATGTTAAGGGCATTAGCTCTTGCTCCTGTAAGTGCTCTGGCCATGTCTACAAGAGAGAAATAATTCAAAATAGAACATGATTTTGAAATTGAAGGAATATTGCTTTACCATGTGCATGCTCTTCTAGTCTTTTGCCTGGATTTTTAACGTGTGTACTCTGTTTGTTTTTCTCAAACAGATCTCTGTCGTCCAACCAGTTTCTGGTTGTGGACTGGCAATTCTTTCAATCTTTTCTCATTTTTATCTCAAGGAAGTCATGAATGCCGTTGATTGGGTGGGAATTTCCTTGGCCGGTTTTGGCACAATAGGTACTGTAAGTTTTACTTTGCCAGCTTTAACACAACAAGGAACATGGTTATGGAAGCAATTTTAAAAAATCTAGATTCTGTTTCTATTGGTCTGTCCCTCTCTGTGTGTTATCAAGTCACAGAAAAATCATGTGCATTTTTGAAAATTCAATTTGTTGATCATGATTTATGATGAGTATCAATTTTTCTAGGTTTTTATATAGCTCAGAATTTGAATCTAAATATTAGTAAGTGTAAATTTGATGGTGTGACCATTTTATTTTTCTGTATGCTACCATATGCACACGTGTGTCTGAGCAATGGATTGAGATTTCGTGGAGTTTTCCTCATTTATATTATCTGGCTGCTAATAAAATTAAATTTGCGGTCAGTTACTGGATTCAATTCACCAAATGTGTCATTCTGTTGATACATGATTTTACATTCACGTGTCCCACTTTGTTAACTATTATATGCTCTTCTATTTTTAGGAGTTGGTGCTGGAGGTGAGGAGCAAGAGGCTGCTGCTCTATCTATTTTTCATATCCCTTGGCTGGCATTTGTTGTTTTCATCTTATTTGTAGGTACCCTGTCTTATGCATCAACTTATTTTTATAGTTATGTGTTTGGAATGCTTTGTTCCATTAATCACCAACTTGCTTGGAAGCCAGTAGGTAGACATTATTCTTGTCTCTTGGAATGCATTATGCAGCATTATGTTTTCTTTTTCATTAACCTGATAGCATGTTTGTAAGATTATTAATTTTGATACATTATTTTATTAATAGTATTTTTATAGGCTTCAACTTTTCATTTAGGATTATGATATGAGGTCGTTGGTGCAAAAAAGTAACATTAATATCTTCCGGAGATGGTTATTATTTTTAATTGTTAGAAACACTTGTACAGATAATGCTTAATGGATGGCTTCATATATACAAACGTCAGCGAAGAGAACAAGAGATGGTAATTCATGTTTTAATCATGATAGAATACCTTCACACTTGTTTATTTTCAATATAGATACTCCCATATAGTGATTTAATGAGATATATGGTGATACAGATGGAATATGATGTTGTTGAGGAAATCATTTACGGCTTGGAATCTGGAATTTTGTTTGGGTAATGTTATTTCCCTACTATATTTATGTGTACTGTTCTTGTATGGATGCATTTCACTTCTTTCATTTACTTCCTCTCCTTAATATCAGGATGAAGATTATGACAATTAATTGTTTTGCCTTTGATGATATTATTTATGCGTGTCAATTTCTTTTTTCTTTTAAGTAAAGAAGGTTTTTAGAGAGAATAATGCAGCGAGTAGGATACGATATTATGTAGAAAAGAAAAGAGAAGTAAAAAGAGAGCCAAAAAGGCTAAAAAAATACAACAAAAATGTCATTTTTCTTTGTGTACTAGAAGTGGAAGATCCTTCAAAACAACTATCAGCAGAGTATCACAGGGAGATTATAAACATAATTTCACATTAACTGCTTGCAAAAAATTTATTTTTGAAGTCTAAACTTCAGTTTAATTAGATTTGTTAGTTTCTATTGAGGGTCACTATTTTCTGTTGGCACTGAACAAAACTTGCAGATATTATTTACACATACAGAGAGAACAGAACTTGATCATTAGTCGTTACTCTTAATTGTGTTAATAAATGCAGGATGGCATCTGTAATATCAAAGATGGGGTTTATGTTCCTGGAGCAAGGCTTCAACAAGCTGTTGGTTCCTGTGTGCATCATCATTAATGCATGTTCGAGTGGTACAGCATTTTACTACCAGGTATTTTGAAAACCTCTATTATACCATCTACTTTTGTGTGGACTATTACCCCTTTAAGCCTAGGGGACATTTCAACATATGGGTGGTGGGCAAGGTGGGATTTCAATCAAACTGGCTACATATTTGTCCAAGTTCTGCACTGCTATTTTAGATATGCTAACCTCTTATATTTATCTTCTCCACCATGCAGACACGTGGGCTAAAGCATGGTAGGGCTATTGTAGTTTCTACTTGTGCAACCGTGGCATCAATTTTGACTGGTGTACTTGCTGGGATGCTTGCTTTGGGTGAGCGACTCCCTTCAGCCCCTCAAGCTCGCTTGTTACTTCTTCTTGGATGGTAATAAAAGATGTTCTGCTATTATTGCTTTGTGCTTTTACTTCCTTTGCTTTCCAAGGTTCGCAGCATAAAGCAATGCAGAAATAAACTCCAGACTTCTATACTTCGTTCCATATGCAAGAATTTACATTGCATTTAGTTGTTATTCAAAAGCATTTCTTGTTTTTCATCTAATTTTTGGTGCAATTATTTGTCTGATTTGGTTGAATGAATTAATCAAAGAACATATAATCTAAGATATATATCAATAATGTTGTGGCAGAATCCAATCTAGTAATTCTTGTTTCTCAAAGAGATAGAAATCTTCATGTTATCATGTCAAAAATAAGTTAATCTCAAACATTTTGCTGCAGGATACTTATTATTGTGGGCGTAATTTTACTTGTTGGTTCAACAAGGGTTTTGAGATTCCTTCGATGTTCTTCACACTGCTTTAACAGAAGCAGTGTCGATAAGAATCATGGCCCGAGAAGATCTGGGGCATCCCGTATTAAGGAACCAAGCACAACTTCTGTCATTCAAGCAGCGACCTTAAATCATTTACTACCATCATCTTCCAAAGAAAAAGCTTGATTCGATGTGAGCTGGTTGCTGTTTTACAGAGGGCATGAATTTTTAGGGACCATTCCTTCTGGCTCACATATTTTACCTGAAAATTTGTCAACTTTCTGATGCCACCTTGTATAAACTTTCCATTCTATTATTTCTCTCTTGTATATGATGATGGTATAGCAACACATTGAATGTTTGGCTAGCATGGAAACAACCTGCACGCCGCAGTACAGCACAGTTTATTCCTGATTTCCTATGCTAGTGCAATAGCAATGTTCTTTAAGAACAAGTGTGACTTTGTTACTGATAATCCGCAAAGGGCTGTTATTCATCCGCTGGAAATTGTCACCGCGGCAAAAGAATTGATTGTATCAAAAGGGCTACGAAACCTCTGTTGAAGATAAAGATTGTGATATTTTGATCCTGATAGGCAGATGAAGCAGAGTTTTGTATAGAAGATCAGTGATGAAATATGTGATAATTTGTAGATGGTACAGGGCATGATTTTTTTTTCCCCCCGAGTATACAACTAAGAAAAGAATAAAATGCCTTTATCACTAAATGTTTTTTTTTTTTTGAAAATTTTAGTTTTTGGTAGTATCTACACGAGATATATAACCTTTGGGATGAGCGATTTTGCGAAGATTATTGACGCTTCTAGCATTATTATATATTTAATTGATGTTGTTTGCATAAAAATCACGATATCTTATGCAAGTTCTTCACTTCAGATGGGGCTCGTTATCACAAGTAAGATGAATTGATGTCGTTGCTAGAAGCGTTTATTATTGTCTGTTATTTAATTGACGTTTATTATTGTCATTTAGGCGAGTTATTATTGTCTGTTATTTTAATATGTTCAATGCTATAAATGAAAAGATATGTTTAATTGTATATAGAAAGAAGAATTTCTTGCTCCCTGCAATTAAGAATTTTTCTTCCAGGTTAATACTCTAATGCAAGAATATGGATATGCAAAAAGTAGTGTTGTCTTTAACATAATCACCCTTTTATTTGTTTACATAGCGATTCCGAAGGTTAAAAGGACTTGAAAAGTTGGTCAGAAGAATGATATGGCTTGGCTGCCTATGAGCAATAGAAGAAGGGACCCCAAGAACACATTATGAGCAGTTGAATGCCCCTGCAATTCCTTCATGGTAGGCCTGGTAAACAGTTAATAGGGAAAGTGAACAAATTATGATCACGAAAGAATGGATGGAAGAGGGACCCCTCAAGGAAGCAATAACATTCTCCAAAGGTCTTAACCTTGTGATTTAACTTAATCAGTTGGTCCACCGTGACAAGGACTAGGTTGTGGTGGGTAGTGAAAATCCAAAATGCAAAACAAAACTGATAATAATCCCAGAGGCATCATGAGACTCGAGTCCTGACTTCTGACGTGGGAGAGCCAAGTATTTGACTGATAAGTGTGAAAGAACCATAGAATAGAGGCCCCACAGTGAATGGTTCCTTGAGAATCCATGTCTAATGCAGTTGTCACCCTCAAAGATGGCCAGACTTGTACCAGCGAACACTACAGATATCAATCAGTCCAATAACTCCCAAATTGTTTCAGCATCAATTTCTTAAGTTAATAATTTACAAGTAGGATATTCTTACTATCAAATATTTTTACTACTAATTTACTACCATTCTAATTACAGTTGGATCTCACCTTTCAACATACAATCTTTGAAAAGTTTATGAAGAGAAAAAAAAATAACTTTTAATATATTCCCTAGATTATATAGTTATATTAGAGTGGTAATGAATTGATAATATAAATATTTGGTAGTAAAAATATCCTACCTCAATTATCTAATGTATCAACAAATTTACAATGTTGTGGATAAGTTCATAATAATAGATAGGAATTTTGTAGAAAATTATTTCAACCTGAAAGTTTAACCTCTCTCATGAGAAATCCACATCAACAATGGTTTTACATTATAAAATATTGTTATAAAAAAGAAAAAGAAAAAGAAAAAAATGACAGGTGAAATTGAGGTAGAGGTCTAGAGTTCAACTCTTGTAGGCTCGTTATTTTCCTTTGAAAAAAAAGATTCCACATGTTTGTTTTCAATTAACTTTTTTAAAAAAAAATTCCCAAAAATTTATACGAATAAAATTTAAATTATAAATTGTTTTAAAAACAAAATAAGCTAATTCTTAATATGAAAGAGAGGATAAGCATCTTCCTTGTTTCTGTGGTACCATACAAATTTAGGTTGTCCTCGATTTAACAATGTTGTCCAATTAAGCCACTGCAAAGTGGAGCCAACCCACTAAGCACAATGGAGATTCTGCTAAAGAAATGCTTATCATCTCTTTCCAATCCCAAGTACTTTTGCCTTTAATGAGTGGTAACTACCAGATATGACTATTTCACAGTGATTCAATTGACCATTAAATGAAAAAATGATGCAAAGCAGCCAAGCACATATACTTGCACTCTGATCATAAAACAACGTAGTACACGGTAACAAACAACAATGGCCCCATCTACACAGGCTCTTGTATATATCTAAAATAATGAAGAATCACATCATAAATCATAAATCATAAATCAATTTTGGAGAAAAACCTTCCATCAATAAAATTTTCACTCTGCATTTTCTGGTCCTGAATAATTACCTAATTGCTTCATCTGCCAGCTCTCGTGAGAGGCCACATGCTCATGCGAAGGTGTGTAATGCTGCAAAATGGAGAAGTCAGCATTTAGAGGTTAACACAGTAATCTGAACACTTCTTTTATCCCACCAAAAGAAACAAGACCAAAAAAATTAAATAATTTACCATTAATCTTTAAAATATCAATCACAAATTTGAATGCAAATTTACATGTAGATATTTCTAATGTTTCCTTTGATATAGTAAGGGAAAAAAGGGTAGTTGAAGTTACACCTCCATCTTCATCATAAGTTCTTTGGCAGAAGGAGCAGAGACAACTATATTTCGTGCACCGGGCTTAATGAAGCCTTCTTGAACACCATTGTCAAATAATGCAAGCAAATAGTTATAGTAACCATCAACATTCAGTAGACCAACCTGTGCAGGATGATATTGAGTTAACATTTGATTATTAGGATTTTACACTACGCAGTAAAAATACTAGGTTACCGGCTTTTTATGAATTCCAAGTTGTGCCCAAGTTATCATCTCCAAAAGCTCTTCCATGGTTCCATATCCTCCTAATAATTATAAAGAAAGAAAAGGTATAAAGACAGTAAGGTTAATATTATATAATCAGTACAGCAATCCAGAACACCAAAAATTAAAACAAATTTCAGTATATTTAAGAACAATTCTAGTGGCATTCACATGTTGAACACATATAACTTTAATTATTTTTTCAAATTATTTGAGAGTTGTTCAGGTAACTACCAGGGAGAGCAACAAATGCATCAGCTTCTTGAGCCATTGCAGCTTTACGCTCATGCATATCTGAAACAATTCTTACTTCACCTACTGTTTCACCAGATATCTGTCAAAATTGGCCAATAACAGCTTACTAACAATTCACTTATCATACTTTCTCCATCAAACGCTGATTATAAATTATTTCCATGGAAAAGGGATTACTATCATAAAGGACCCACAAATCTCACCATAAATAAGTCCTGCTACGAAGTAAGATGTGAAATGGCAATGCATTGGTGGAGGCTGGCTGAAGATAATGCAAGGTAAAACTTGGTATACAAGAAAAAAATCTACCCCTCCCCCCTTTTGTTTTTGGGTAATCAAATCATCACTATATAATCCCAAGAATAAACTAATATAAAACAAGAACCAGTTCATTGCCAATTATCAAATTAACTATTAAGTAAAAAGAAAAATAACCAAGATGATAGAGATTGTTAAAGAGTTGCACAGACAGAGAGTAGCACAAATACCTCGAGAGGCATGAGAGCTTTTGGAATGACCCTGTATGTAGCGAGGGGAGGAAATGTAAAGAAGAAATAAACAAATGGTGAGACAATGTGATTAATTATTAGTAATACCCAACTTACAGTAAATGACAAGAGCATCCGTGGAAAACACTAAAAAAACAAGTTTTTTTAATGCATATACCCTAAGACATGGCAGCCTCCATCATAAACTCTCTGGGATATTAAGCCCATCAGCCCAACACTTCCTCCACCGTACACCAAGTCTATACTCCGCTTAACCTGTAATTCACGCCACAAAACAAAAATACAAAACACAGACAAAGATGATGATGATGAATTCTTCACTGTGTCTATGCATAGCACAAAATGCATTTATGCAAATTTGTTTACAAAAAAAAAAACTTTGACTACTACAACGTACCCCTAAAAAAAGTGCTTTTTAACAAACAAAACAAATTCAGTATCAAGTATCAGCATTGAAAACAACCGTTTCTAAACGTTGAACACAAGGTATACAAAACAGAATATATGAACAAGTGTACAAAGCAATGCAGAGGACATGCCCTGAGACCATACAAAAATCCGTTAATGGTGTGAGAAAAGACGAGTGTTTTGAGAAAAAAGATTGAGGAATAGAATAGATTAGAATAGGAGAGTAAAGAGTGCTGCAAAAATAACTGACCAGTTCATTGCCCAATTGAATCGCAGCGTCACTGAACACTTCTCGGTTGCCAGAGTTGCTGCCGCAGAAGACACAGACCCTCTTGAACTTGCTTCTGGGGTAGCCTTCCTCCATTCAAAATCGATGCTTTATTTGTGGTTTTTCAATTCAAACCCAAAACCATTGGAAGAACAAACCAACAATATACAAAAAAGAAAAAAGAAAAAAAAAGGGGGCAACCCTTAACGCAGATGAAGATTATATATTGCTCTACTCACTCTAAATAACTTTTTTGAGCAATCAGAAAAAGGCAGAAACTTTCTTCCAAAGGGTAATCCCGGTTGATCCTAGATTGAACAATAGAACATATAAGAGAAAACGATGAGACTGAGACTCATTTTTAGTGAGCAAAGCACGCACGCTCCCACAATTTCTATTTCATTTTCAATCCTACGTCTTTTTGTCGGCTTTGTAAAAGGCTCTATTTTCTTCTCTATGTAAATAATATCAATATTATGGTGAGATATTCTTACTACTAGAAAAATTTATTATCAATTTATTATTTATTTAATTATTATTAGATTAATATTTTCTCTCTTCATAAGCTTTTTAATATTTTTTCTCTATAATCTAATAGTAATTAGATAAATAATCAGTTAGTAATAAATTTTTTTAATAGTAAAAATATCTCTCTCTGCTATGATAGTAAGATGAAGTATAATTTAACAGCTCGTGTTATATTCAGAAAGCTGTTGAATTATCTCTGAAATGATATATCAACTAATCATCAATGATATACAAATTCTTTCTATCATGGTCAACGGGTCATGTGTCCATCTCTCTTGAATATTTACAAATTCTAATAAGATTTTACCTATTTAATTTTTGTTTCTTATAACAAGATTTAAACATGAGAGAATTTGTTTTCCTTTTTTAATAAATTTGTAATAAAGAAAAAGGTCAAAGGATATGATAGAAATTTGTAATAACAAGATTTTTGTCTTTTTTTTATTCCAATTTCTCTTCTCTTTACAAACAGAAATTTAATCAAACAAATTTTTATAAAAAGTTTTTTTATAATGAAAAAAAAAAACCGAAAGCTCCTCCTAAATTGTGTCAGTTTTTTTAAAAAAAAATAAACAATTTTTAATTAATTTTTAAGTTGAAAATTTTATGTAATTATCAAATAACTTTTAACTTTATTTTTAAAACTCTTTTTTTTAAGTTTACCTTAAAAGTAAATTTTAATTTAAAAAAGAGAGGTGTCAAACATGCTTTAATACATGCAGCAGAGACTTGCTAAAACAATGATCAAATCAAATAAGGCTAGAAAGAGATATGACTTTCAAAAGAAGAAGAAGAACAAGAATGTGGGAAACAGTCGTGGTCGCACTAATTGCTGTGAAGTGACTAATAAATTTTCATTCCCTCACTTGTTTGCTATTCCAAAAAGATGATCCATATATCCATTTGTTTTTTTGTTTTTTGTGGTAAGCATATATTCATCTACTTATTTATAGAGCCGTGCAAGAATGTGCTTTCTTTCTTTGACAATGACATATTGTGGTTTTATACTGCAATAGAACTTAATGGAATCGAATTGTATTTGTTAAAGAAAAAATGTCCCAAATATTTTCCGTACTTTTAAGTTTTAATTTATTGTCCATTTGTTTGAATTGGCTTGGTTCAGTCTTGTGACCCCACCATTCAAGACATTAACCTTATTCAATTATACCAATCTATAATTCTTTATTGAGTGTAAGAAGAAGACATACCCACGTTACGAGAGTGCACGAATGTCTCCCTATGTTTAACACTGCAAAGTGGCTGAAAGACGAGGAAACACTCCAAATTGGAGATAATTTATTGTGAACAGGACCATCATTTTTTAGGTGGTCTCTCTCACATCATTACTTCAGGTTGAGGGAAGTAGGTCCTTATCTAGCTTATCGGATTTCTAGTATATAGATTCTAGAACATCCCTTTTTTGTGTTTGGTTGGCGTAATCTGATGAGATAGATAGGTACTAAAGAAATGGAATTGTGTTTGACAAGTTTGGTTGAAGAGTTTCCAATATTTGCTTATCTAAATTACTCCCTAAGCATTCCATTTTGCATGTCAATTGGACCTAAATAAATGGCTCAATATTCTCATTTCAGATGTGGTATTGAAGATTGCTTAGGTAAATGGAGACATCGGGCTAAATGGAGACAGCACCCAAACATACACTCAGTAAAGGTAAAGGGTAGCATTGGTGATTCAATTTTTTTTAAAATCAATGTTATTTTGATAATTGTAACTTATTTTCACATCAATATTTTACCTCAAACCAAACATAGACTTTATAAAATTTACGTAATTTTCCCGGTAAAATATTTTTCAACCAAATAACTTTTTTTACATTTTATTACCAAACTCATTTTTCAACTATTTCCCTAGTAATTACATTTTTCTAATATTCAAAAATTTTCTCCTCAACCAAACGTGATAAAGGTTGAGAGTCGAACTGTCGAAATACAAAAGACATACTTCTAGACTAAATCAAGGTTGAGTGCCACAAAATTTTAGTTTAATCACAAGGGATATCACATTTGTTAACAATATATTTCTTCGGTGTCTTTTTACCCTGATATTAAATATTACATTTTGGTATTTATTACATTTTTTTGGCATTACAAATATATAGAGTTAAATGGGGGTCCCGCCTTAGCCACGTAATTTGATGGATAAAATCCTTCATCCGAAAATGACAAATTCTTGTGTAAATTTTATTTACACAAATTATATAAATTAAACTAATCAATGGTAGATTAATATATTTTTTTGGTAAATGGTAGATTAATATTTTTAATATAAAGTTAAGTTGGAAATTGACACACAAATCAAAAACAGTAAAGAGAAAAGGAAGAGAGATTTGACACAGCAATATACCCTACTTCACTCAATATAAAATATGTTCACTTTGTCTGTTATATTTATCTCATTGCAACTCGTTACAAATCACTCGGTTTATAAAAGAATATAAATAAAATTTAGAAAATTCTTATAGCAGCTATTTATGGACCCAAATTCAAAATATTAAGAAAAAGAAAATTACAATAAGTTATAAGCCCAGCACAGTACCAAATTTCTATGGGCCCAAGGGCGTTGCCGACCCCACCAACAAGGACCCTCATCAGTATACGAAATATGAGTAATACCCAACAAGTTATTGTGCTATGCAATAATTTGTGTAACTATTTAATATACAGATAATATATTACTTATTAATTAATTAGTTAATATACAGATAATATATTACTTATTAATTAATTTAAGTTGTGTAACTTGTATTAAAAAAAAATTAGACAAAAATTTAGATTAGGAGAGATACATCTCCATACAAGATGAGAAAAAATTGAGGATTTAAAGTGAAATTACATACCATTGTTTATTAAAAAGGAAAAAAATTAGGAATCATCGCCTTTGGTGGCACGTTATACATGTCATGAAGGACTAGTGTAGGTAGAACATAAAGTGATAATACTTAACTAAACCACTTCATTTGTATATATATCTTTATAGTTTATTATTTTGATACTTTGATTAGCTTGTGTAATATTGACTTACGGATATAATTAGTTGAATTATTTTTATTTGATTTTTTTTAAATTTTTCATATATGATATATATTTATATTTTTTTAATGTATAAAATTGGGTTAGCAAAGTGATCCCGTAATCCTCCTGGTTGAACCTATGATCCCTCACCTCGGCTGAGTCGATGGCCGGACCGAATTTTTAAACATTCATTTGAAATAGAGTTTTTTTTTTGGTATAGTGTGTGTCCTTTTAAATGATGTAAGTTATATCCTTTTAGTGACTTACATAAAGTCTGATTAGTCATATTTTGTGTAAATCTGAATTTTTTTTTTTTTTTTACTTTACACATCAGCGATATGACAGAGGAGATAGAGAAAAAAAAGTAATATTTTATATTTACACAAAATATGACTGGTCAGACTTTGTGTAAATCACCCAAAACGACATAAGTTTTTTTAAAAGATACTTCTTTTTCCCTTTTTTTTTTTTTTTACATATTTGAAATATATTTTTATTGATAAACTATGATGTCATTCCGTCACCTTATTTATTTTAGAAGTAAACAAACGTTATTTTGCACAAAAACCTTAATATGACTAAACAATAAAATATATATATATATATATATATATAGAGGCAGGTTATATTTACAAACTTTTTTGTTTACAAACTCTTACAAACTACACTATGTAGGACCGGTCCTACATTAATCACACAGTGTACGACCGGTCCTACATTAGTGTAATTGCAAAAAAAATTTGTAAACGGATCATGTCCTATATATATATATATATGACTAAACATTATTTACATATACAAACACAAGTCTCTCTATACTATTAAATATATGTCTAACTGTTAAACTAATTAATTTTTTTTTTTCTTCTTTAATGTCTTTTAATAGTTCAACAAGTAACATTTCCCTTGAATGTTGGCATCTTTACCAAAAATGGGAAGAGTGGAAAACATCTGTGGCTCTCTCGAGTTTTGTCTCTGCCTCTACCTTCTTATCTTTGTTGTTCTGTAATTTTTTTTTTCCCTATCAAACTCCTAAATCCAAGCAATGAGTTTCGGTTTACTTCATCGAGACCAAAGAAAGCAAAAACATGGTATTTGATATCCCATTTTTTCTATTTTCCTATAGGACTTTGGATGCAACTTCTCAGTCCTCACAAAGTTAATCACAAAGTTGAATGATCATCATGGGAAGAAGAGTCCCTTCTGATAATCTCTCATTGATACACCCAATTCTATATTTGTCATTCCTCGCTGCAGGATTGGCCGCGAGCATTGCCATAATCACAGCTATATGCAGTGTTCCTGTTCGGTTTCGGTTTCGGTTTCGAAAGAAATCATCACCACCACCATCTGATCCATTAGAAATAGGGAAAGATTTGGATGCATCTAAACCACCATCAAGCATGGTAGCCACAGGGAAACCAATTACAGAAAATTCTTATTATACAGAAGAATCAGCACATAGAACAGAAGAAGAGAACAACAATGAGGTTCAGATGAAGGAGCTACCTCTTCCACCGGCAATGCAACAACAACCAAAGGATTTGTTTCCTTCGAATAACTTTAAAAGAGCAACTTCCGAACGAAAAGCACCTTTTAGTTTAAGCCTAAAAATTCCAAGGAGTTTGTCAGTGTCGAAAAACTGGGATCAAATAAAGGAGGAGAAAATTAAAGGGAAGTTGAAAACGGAAGAATCTGTTTGGATGAAAACAATTATATTAGGAGACAAATGTGTTCCTGATGAAGAGGATCCTGCTGTCATCTATGAAGGCAAGGGAAAGAGAATCTCAGCATATCACCCTAGAACTCATAGTTCCATGTCGCTT